TTCATTCTACCTAAAAAACCATAATTTTTGGTATTTCCATTAATAATATAAATATGATTTTTTTTTCAATTAAATAAATTATGTATATATATATATATATATAACAAAATCTGAAAATTGACATTTTGAAAATGGTGGCCGACCGCATCACCCGTTCAGTTTAGATGACAACCTTACATTTTACATTTATCGAAATNAGATAGATAGATAGATAGATAGATAGATAGATAGATAGATAGATAGATAGATACATTAAAATTACATGTTACAGTTTTAGGTTGCAATTTTTTCGCAAATTTAATTGCTAATTAGTATTATAAATCTAATTATTTGGACGAATTTATTATTAAAATTTCTTACGCAGCAGATACATGCAGATTCAAGCAAGAATATCGTTAGAATATGAAAGAGCTAAGAAGTTAATTGAAAAATCAAGTGTAAAAAATGAAAATCTGGAATTTTCAAAAAGTGGTTAGCTTTATACTTTCTTACTATACTATTAGTAAATTTATTTAACAAGACTTAAGATAACTTTGCCAAATTAGTTCTTCCTTAAGCTTCTGTTTCGTTAATCCTAATTAGAAAACTAGAAATACTCATTAATATTCTTTCAGTGCAGTGTGTTTAGTTGATATAAAAAATTTAGCTTAAAAATTAGTGCGCATAGATTTGCTTAAGTAATGATTTTTACTTACTTAAAAATAACTTTATTGTTTCGAATATTATTTTAATTATGTTATAGTATTGTTGATCTTAAATTATATTGTTAGTGCACTTTAAAATTCTTTTCAACTATTTAACACCAAAAGAATTAGAAGGGGACATTTTTGGCGTTTTATTTCACTAAAAACTATGTTTGGTGTTTCAATACATCAACTTCGGTGTAAATAGATGCTTTAGTAATGTAGGTGCCAACCGTTTTAATGTAACGAACTTTTTTCTGCCCTCATTTAATTGGCTTGATTCACCAAAGTACTCAAATATGTCTTTAACTACAATTAATAAACTAATATTGCTTAGCTTTTTTCCGATGGTTCACGTACTTTTTTATTTATTTTTAATTTACATTGTTTTTTCTTTCTTTTGCTCCAATTTATTTCTCAGAATTGTATTTTTAAACTATCTTCTTATTTTGTTTGCAGCAATTTCTATGTTGTCCGTTATTTTATTGATGTGTTGTTTTTAAAAATTATTAATATTTTTTTTTAAATTATAGAGAGGAGAAAAACACAAAAAAGACTTCATAAAGGTTTTTTATTTTTTTTATTTTAAAAGCTGTAACGTTTTTCAAATTTACTTCATTTAAAGTAGCAAATACTGTTAAATTATCATTATATTTATTTTGTAAATGGCTGTCATTTCAAATTTGATATTTTTTTTTCAAATTTGATCACCATTTCCCGATTTTTCACAAGTTTAGTAATTATTATTTTTTTTATTTAAACACAGAATATGAGACAGAAATCTCATGCATTCACAATAATTTAAACTAAAACAAATTTAATTTATATAAAAGTTTAATTTAAATCTGAAATGTGATATATATTTCCTGAGTTTAAATTAAAAAATATAGCAATGGTTATTTTATAAGCGCGAGCACGCGCTCTCAAAATGCATATTTTATTTTATAAATAAATGTATTAAAAGGAATATAAAATTGTTTTTAGATAAGTAAATAATCATTTTTTCATCTAAGTCTTCTCGATAGTTGATCTTTGATCCTTTTTAATGCAATAAAAGAGCTTGTTGTAAGCAAGACGAAATGCTTCTTAGAATGAGCTTAAGTTTTCAGAGTAGAAATTATTTCTCCGTAAGTAAATACTTTTTGTGTCTTAAAAATGTGCCTTTGTACCATAAAAAAGAATATTTGTTCATTTTTAGAGGCACATTTATTATTTTTCAGCTTTAATAAGCATATTTTGAAAGTACAACTTTAAATGAATTTTTACGACAGTACTTTAAAGAAAAATATAGCAAACATTAATAAGAGAAAAGTGTCTCTTCAAATTTAAATCTCTGACATAATTAAGAATTCTGAAATTCTATTTAGTTTGAAAATAAGATCCCCCCGATTCTTTCACAAATTTTTTAATAAGTTCAAAGCATAGCAATATTCCATTTTTTCTTTCAATTTGCTTGTTGTTAGGCGTGATTCTTGTCAAAGCTAGTGCAATTACTCTTGCTTCGAATTCAAACGAGGAGTGTCTTTGAATTTTTAAGTTTGACATAAAAATTACGAGTGGTTCTTTCAGTTCAATGTAGAACTAGTCTTTCGGTCATGGCACCTTCACCATACGCAACAGAAAAATTCAATTGCAGCTTTTGCTACATTTTGTCTTTGGGTGAAAGCAAACAGAAGGTGTAGAAAACGCTGATTCATTTCAACTTTGCATTACAATTTAGTTACCTGAAAATTACTTTCAATAAATAAAAGCATCCACTTTATCAATTGTTATAAATGCATTAATAATCTGTTAAAACCCTATTATTATATAATTATGTTATGTCTGTATCATACATCAAAAATATTAGTTAACTGAACTATATTGCCAAATACCACTCAATGTTACAATTGGAAACAAAATAGCGGAAAGTTGGTTGCGAACCAATATGCTGCACGTTTTTATCATTGTAATAATTTATTTACGCTATTTTATAAAGTGTTTCAAGTTATTAAACTAGATTTCTAGAGAAATAACTAGAATTTCAAATTTATCAATAAAATTTGACTGACATTGAGATTTTTAAATTCATAACTGTCTAAACTAAACTGCGTAGGGGGTATACCCAAGTAGTTTTTTTTTTTTGCATTGAAAACTAATTACTTCCCGAGCTATTTAATCAAGAAACTATGTTTATTCGTTGAGAAATTTTACCAAGTAAGACGGGAGTTAAAAGATTTAACAATTTGAATTCTAATTGCTTCCCTTTTACAGCTCTTTCAAAGCTACATTAGAATAGAAATTAAATTTCAAAAACCTTTATTCAAACTTGAAAAAGAAGTAGATTTATTAAAGGAAACTGTTTTGAAATATATTATTTGATACAAAGCTAAATTATCAAATGTCAGTTTTTTATGACCAAGAATTACTTCAGATTGAATAAAAAGGTATTAAAGGCGTTTGAATTTAAACGACTTTAAGACAAATTTTATTCGTGAACTTTTTTTATCATTAATTCTGAAATCACATTTGTTTGCATTCTAAATTAAATCTTTCAATAAATAAGTTTGCATATTTTAACTGAAAGTTTAGTTTAAAACATCTATCAAAATCAATGTACCTTTTATCTTCAAAGTATTTCATTTTATTTTTTAAAAAAGTTGAACTCAATGAACAGAATCCATTTATTTACAAAAACTAATTTTCTGAAGAGTTTTATTTCGGGATGTAAACTAATGCTTCCTTTATGAATCTATAATGGTTTTTACTTATTTAATGAGAATTTATTTATGAAACCATGCATAAAATGTTCTAAATTTAATTAATCATGGCTAAAATACTCTCCTTTTTTTATTTTGATTTTAAATTCGTATGAGGTCTGATATAAATTCAATCGAATCTCATGCAAAAATAACCATACAGTAAGTTCATTAAAAACTTTAAAATTTTACTTATTAATACAAAAAAAATTTATTTTGTAAAGAAATGCTTGTGAAAAAAATGTTATTTTTATTTTAGATATTCCTTTTTTAGATATTCTTTTTTTATAATTTGAACCGGATTTATCAGCACTCCATTAAAGATTATTTTGACCTTATCAACCAAAAATGGTTTCGGAATTCCACATAAAACAAAACAATTTACTGGCAACCTCTAACCCATAGAAAAAAGACAAAACTACATATTATTTTTATTTATACATAAAAAAAACTGATGAAAAAACGTAAGAAATATGGCTGCTCTTTTCTGATTAGAAGAATCTTCTAGAAAAGAGCTATTGGAAACCACTAGTTCTCCTCAGTTGGCCAGGTCAGAACAATTTGATTGATCGAAGAGCTCACGTAACACATTGTGGACTTGTGATAGCAATAGTTCTCAGATATGATGTATTCGATAAAAGACCACTCCCGTGATAATAGCTCTCCTTTATGACTCCAAATGGATTTTCATCGAGAAAACTTATATTCTTGATAAAAGCTCTTCACAAAATCTTGTAAATGATAAGATATCGTTAAAAACTTTCCACGAAAAATGATTTTCGAGAGTCAGTTCCAAAAAAGTTTTTGTTTATTGGTTGAATATCATAGAATTGATATTGAAAGTTTGTTTTTTCTTCTTTTTCGTTGCTTTAAATGAGTTCTTACTTATAGTAAGATTTTTCTTTTTCTTTTTCTGTATTCAGAGGAATGAAGGTAGCACAGAACTAATTTAATTGCTCTAAAAGTAATTTTCGACTACTTTTATGATAAGTAAACTCTAAACTATTCTCTTCTGGATTACGGTCAAGTGACCGGCAAAACGTGTTTCAGTTTCCAACCTTAAAAATAAATTAATGCCCACAAAATGATCATAACCATAAAAATACAAGTTAACCTGTAAAATCCCTTCGTGAAATATATTACCAATAACCCTAAATTTATTTTGTGCTTGTAAAAATTATCTTCGGCTCACAATTTGACGTCGTTTGAAACTCAAACAATTTGTTAGTCGTATTAAGGTGAACAATGAAACTAAGCGAAGTCGATTAATGCTGATATCTATCGATGAGTAAGAAGGTTTCATGCCCGTTTTTTGTGCTCATCAATATATAAAAAAGCGCGAGAGGAATGTTTTTTTTAACACCGACTGGTTTTGAACCTAGGACTTTTGACCCTGCAGTTTGCAGCAACCACCATATCTGATTTCATAACTTATTTTATCATTTGTACTTGTACTAAATAATTAGTATATTAAAATCTTCTTGTAAGATTAAGTTCGCGTGGCATGTTAGTATCATTAGTTGTAAGCTATTTTGTGCACTCTTTATCATTAGTTGTATAAATTTCTGAAAACACTTACCTCAGTTTCTCCTCTAAACCATTTAAGCTCTGCTGGGGGATTGCCTGCTGGTCCCGAACATGTAAATGACTGACGATCACCTTCCCTTAATTCAACTGAATCTTCGTAACCTGATAGAATGGGAATTTCAGGAGGATCTATAGTGAAGTAAGAAAAATATAAATTACTTTTTATGCAATTTCTATATTTAGTAAAGATATGATAAACTATGACATTTTAAATTACCATAAGGTAAGAATACCATAAAATAAATTTGAGTCACACATGAATTTTATATTATAACCCGTGAAAGAATGTTCGAGAATATTTCCTGAGTTTCATAAGCAGTAAGAAACATCTGTCACTGTGATAAATGAATCGTGGTACTTTACAAAACTTTACATTTAATTGCTTTTTATTAAATGTCTGCTCAGAGCAACGCTAAATTTCATCTCATTGCAGTTGCTGGAGAACAGAACAGTGCTAAGTTTCATTAATGAATTCTATATTAAAACACGCGAAAGACTGTTCGAGAATATTTCCTCAGTGTCATAAGCAGTATAAAACATCTGTCACTGTGATATCTGAATTGTGGTACTTTACGAAACTTTACATTTCATTGTTTTTAATTTAATGTCTGCTCAGAACAGTATTAAATTCCATCTCAATCACATACTTAAACTATTTTTATTGATAAGGAAAATTTGTATTCAAATTGTTAGTAAAGTAGGTTGCAATAGAATGGGGGTTGAAACTTTGATCTGGCAATGTAAAAAAAATGATGATATTTCAGTTGATGAATTGAAGCCGACACAGCTTCATCATAACGTCTAGCAGATACTTCATAATGCCTACACCATTACTATCATCGTGTCATTGGTCCCGATATTAAGGTGGCTTAACCTTCATTACTTTCTGGCCCTCATCTAGGTGTAGCGAGAAATCTTGTTAATATAAGGAATGTAACATTCTTATAAATAGAAAACCCTTTATATATTTTTTATTTTAAATATCATGGTTTGGTAATGAAGGCTTTCCACTTTAGGTGGCAGCTTTATTCCTTTCTGTGGCTTGGTATCGATCAGTTATGAAGAAAGTAATCCTGATAGTGAAAACGGATTTGGATAATGTTCATTTGACGTTACTTTATAAATAGAAGCGAATGATATAAGTAAAATGATCCAAATCGATGTTGAAACATCAAGAACTAATCAAGTGCACTAAGCTTTTGTTATTATTGCAAAAAAAGAAACTTTTTTTCACAAAAAGATGTTTGCAGTTGCTGATAAAACTGGATGTCTATCAATCTTTACTAAGGTAGGATAAAGATGAGCACATATTATTTATTTTTTTTGTCTTCCATAAAAATTTGAAAAGGGGAGGAAAGAAATTAATTTAAAAATTGTGAGATATTAAATCCCCAAAAAGTGCCTCTGAGTCAGGGTTTAAGGCCAAATGTATAATTTCGTTGATCTGTCATTCATTAGTATAATTTAATTTTGTTGAAATGCAATAGAATAATAACTTAGCCAAACAATAAAGATGTGTAATCAATCACGTAGGGAAACGTTCTGAAAAAATAGAGCAGCACAGTGGGAAATATAGAAAAACATTCTGATACTGCTGAAATTTTCTTTTCGACTTTTCAAAGAAACTGTTATAAAATCCAAAAAATCTTATAGTTGCAAATGTATTTGGAATTTGCAATAATCATATACCTTGTTAATAAAACTCATAACTATAATACAGATTTTGCGCGGAGAAAAAAAAGGTTCCTGCAAAATTACTGCGCTGTATGGTGCTGACATTTCTAGTAAAAACAAAGCAATAATTCTGGTTAATGAAACCAAAATATATGGGAATTAAATCATTAATTTTATATATTTTTTCTTTAATATAGTAATAGTTTACCGGAAATTCTGGTTTTTAAAACTATAGTTTTCATTGCCTCTCTTTTAGAAAAAATAAAAAAAAACTTAAAATTAAATTATAAATTTAACGGCATAAATATTATTATTATTTTTTTTTGCACCATGCATTTAAGGTATCATGATAAACTACCAAATTTTATCTCATAATATAAAACTATATTTTATTGTTTTATTGTTACGTTCACCAGAATTATAAACAAAGCGCTTTGGTATAAATTATCGAACATTTTAGTGCTCTCATTGAGCAAGAAACATGGTAAGTATTATCATACTCCGGTAATTTTGTCCAATTTACTTTCTCCGAGCGTAATAGTTGTTTTGTAGAAAAATTAATAGAATCTGAAAAAAGTCAAGTCAATTTGATAAATGGTACTTATCTCTTAGAACATATTTTGTTGTAATAAAAATTAGACAAATATTGTAAAATTGCTGCTCCCTGGTTATGTTATTTTAAGATAATTTTTTTCCCTGAAAATATATCATTACTAAGTGATCAAAGTAATTTTATACTTTTTAGAGATGACGGGATTGATGGTAGGTGGTGTGTTGGATCCGTGTCCAAGAGTTAATGAGTATGATGTCCACCGACCGATGTCTCCTCATGTAGTAAATGGTGACTGGTGCACGATAAATCTGACCAGTCACAAAGTCATCCATGATCCCGTAACACATTAATATCTCTGGGGATACTGAATTGCAGATTGATCGCTCTCTGGCGTAGATCAAAAGCACGATTTGTGGATGAATGAATAGATGTATGAACGCGTCCACCCTATAAACGGCCTATGACAAGTGTGTGGCTTAAGTTGCGTTCTTGACCATAGATGGCGCCACTGAAAAACGAGAAACAAACCCTGTGCCTTAAATTCGTTAGATTTCACCAATTGGCAAGTGCATTGGAAGCAACAACAAAAGCAACATTCTTAAATCACTTATCTAGTCAGAGGGAAATTTTAAAAAAGTGATCTTCATTTATGGCTGGGATTCTAGTTATCCTGATATTCTACTTTTATAACTGTCGTTGAACAGCCGACCCAATTTAATGAGTTTAGGACTACTAATGTTCAGCACGATAAAAACTCTCATTATATTGATCTCAAACTATAATTAGTTTTTCAGTGGTCCAACAATACAATTATGCTAGTGACTAAGACTGTTAAAACTTTCTGCTCTAAGCAGAGTAATTCTGAAATTAAAAATAGTATTGTTTATTACTTTTTTGCTATGAATTAGCATTTATCGTAACTAAGTACACATATATTTTTTTAACTGTGTAATTTGGGTAAGTGTCATTTCAAGATAATTTAAATGATTCTGTTAAAATTGCCGAAGTATTATACATTTGAAATTTTCTTTTATAGCTTAGCAAAAGAAGCAATTACTGCTGAAGGTGTAATATTAAAAATTTCAGGTTGATAAATGAAGATCTCTTGCTGGAAAACTGCAAAGATATACACTTTTATTTATAAAATTTAAATACTAGTGTGGTTAAAAATTAATTAATTAGATGGACCATATAACATCTCACGTTTCTGAATTGTTACCTTCGTAAGTATTAAAAAAACGACTTTAGATAGTGATAGAGTTATAAGAGCCTAAAATGCAAAATGTCTCCTCTTAAGTTGATAAATTAATACCTCTAAAAATACAAACTGTATACTCGAGGTAGCGAAATAATAACCTAAGGCAGAACACGGAACACCTCATGTTAATAAAAAATAACATTTTCAAGTGTCGAAAAATACAATTGAGGTTGATTTATAAATGCCGGAAGTGTAAAATAGCACACCTTATGTAGATAAATAAATATCACAACAATTATATAAATCCGCACTTGAGGTTGAAAAATAATAACCAGAAGTAGAACATCGAATACAATATTCATAAAAACAATTCATAAAAAACAACTTTTCCAACTGTCGAAAAATGCACTTGTGGTAGATATATAATAACTTGATGTGTAAAATGATGCATCTAAAGTTCATAAAAAATACCACTACAAGAATAAAATATATGCTTTAGGTTGAAATATGAAAACCTGAGGTAGAACATGAAGCACCTCAAGTTATTAAAAATTGCCTTCACGACAGTCAAAAAATACAGTTGAGGTAGATCCAGAATAACACGAAGTGTTAAATAGGTTGTTGAAGAAATACCTTAGGTTGTTGAAGAAATACTTCCACTGGTGTAAAAAAGTACATTTCACGCTGATAAGCAATAACCTAAGGTAGGAAACGAAACATCTTAAATTAGTAAATAGCTGTCTCTCCACTAATGTAAGATGAAACACCTTAGCGTGATACATATATACCTCTGGAGGTATATTTTAGATATGTTTGAGGTAAATTTGGATGTATTCATTTGCACCCTTTTTAACCAAACGACATATTTAAATTACAATCCCATTTGTACCTCAAAAATACCTCAACTTTTCCGTAAGGGAAGTTAAGCTACGTGATACGAATACATGATTTTCTCATCATCGTATGCTTAACTCAACAGTGGATGCCTATTATTTTGAAATAAATAAGTGCGTGATGTAAGAAATAAGCAACTTAGTTATTTACATCAATGTACAAACCTTAACCAAGACGGCAAATTTATCAATCTCCTGAATGGGGATTCAAATCCCAGCATTGAAACCACAATATATATATATTCTATCAATCTTTNATATATATATATATTCCATCCATTCAACATATGAGGTGTTTCTAGTGTATTACACACCTCAGTTGGTGGCCGTGGACAATTAGAATAGGAAACTTTTACTCATGTATGAATAACAGCACCACAGAGCTGTATAGTACCCTTCACGATAGATTGCACCACTACATAAATTAATTAATTTACATTTCATGGTTCATTTGACGAAACACAAATTAACCACAACCTAAATCCAATATCTAGCACCTAACGAAAAACCTAACAAAGTGTAATTACAATCATACCTAACTTAACTTCCATAACTTAAATTTCATTTTTGCAAATTTCGAAACTATACTTGGTTTAAATGGGTACAAATCCGCATAGTTTTCTTTCTCACTCATTCCAGTTAGAAACGATTTCAAACAAAAGTAAAGTAATGATTTTAACAATAAGCTTTACGGTTAATTGTATGGTTAGCTGCTGTCGTTTATTTTACCGTTTTGTCGTTTTATTTTTTGAATGAAATTTCTAACATTGTGTCGTTAGTTCTTTTTAAAAGTAAGTGCTTGTATACTGTC